ACATGGTAAACTTTACAATATTTCAAGATATGTGGCTAACAAACTGCCAGTACACATATGGAACGAAATTTTAAGACATCATTTCATCTCATTTGACAGGTTTCATAACAGACTACATAACAAACATAATAACAAATTTAATTGGCTAATTAAAAAGAAACAAGACGAATATCTGAAAAATATCAAACCGATTAAACTTAGTTATTCCATCAACAAAATAGACATTCCACAATCAACAATTTCAGTAAACAATAATAGAAACAAAGACATTGTCATATATCCTAATAAATTCAAAGACAAACATATTAATCCTCTAACCAGTACTAACGAAAAATGGTTTATTAATTTGACTGACACAATAATTCCTACCAATGTCACTAATCTATTACAATTTGGAAGTAAATTCGGCCTGCCGTTTAAGAATGACAAAAAGTTGGCCATACACGAGTTTATCAAAGATATAGAAGGGAATTCCACTAGTTCTAACATGAAAAATTTAAATACATTACGTAACAATCTGGTTCCACAACTTTCCTATTTTTTACACGGCAAAACTAAGTTTAATTCAACTCATGAAGATTTGATTAGTATGCATAGATATACAAGGAGGTTTTGCCATGATAATCCGGATATTCTTTTTACAAGGGCTGATAAGGGCAACGTAACAGTCGCGATGACAAAAGAATATTACACGAATAAGATGGAAGGTTTACTTGAAGACAATAACACCTATTCTATCATAAAAAAGAACCCATCCTCCAAAATAGAAAAGGAACTAAACGATATTCTTAAGAAATGGCAAAAAAAAGAGTACATTTCTAATAAAGAATATTACTCACTACGTTCCAGCGACTCCCTTCTTCCAAAATGTTATGGTCTCCCAAAAATACACAAGGAGAATACTCCATTTAGGTTAATTGTGTCATCGATTAATACCACGCTTTACTCGATAGCCACATTTTTACATAAAATCATTTCAAATAGTATTCCTACGGGAAAAAGTAATGTAAATAATAGTTTTGAACTTTACAGCAAGCTAGCGGGTAGGAAAATTGGTGCGGAAGATATTCTAATATCATTAGACGTGGTTTCACTATTTACTAACATTCCGATAGATCTTGCAATAGAAAGTGTGAGCAATAGATGGAATTATATCAATACACATACATTAATTCCAAAAAATGAATTCATTTCCATGGTTAAATTTATATTGTCGTCAACATACTTCACATTCAATGACATTGTATACAAGCAAGTTTATGGCACACCTATGGGTTCCCCGTTGTCGCCAATAATTGCTAATATTGTTATGCAAGATCTTGAAGAATCAATAATTAATGAATTGGACATTGGTATTGGAATATATTATAGATATGTAGACGACATTATTATGGTGGCACCAAAGAATAAAATTGATAGTGTACTGAATAAGTTTAATAGTTACAATCAACGACTACAATTTACGATTGAATACGAAATTAATAGAAGCATAAATTTTCTAGATTTAAACATTAAAATAATAAATAACGTCATACACTTAGATTGGTTTCAAAAAAAGACATGTTCAGGTAGAGTACTATCTTTTTTATCGAGTCACCCTATGTGCCATAAAATAGGAGTAATTTATAATCTTATTAATAGGGCATTGTTATTATCTCATCCCATATATCATAAGAAAAATTTAGAACTGTGTATTAAAATATTATTGGACAACGGTTACCCTATTCATTTGATCTTTAAAGAAATAAATAAGAGAATAAGAGTTTTAAACAATGGACAGTTTAACAACAATAGAAAAAAAGAAATTGCAGAAGATAATAGCAAGAAAAAATTTTTTGTCATTCCATACATTAATAACATTTCTGAGACAATAGCATCGACAATAAAAAAATCAGATTTCAGAGTAGGATACCGTTGTCTAAATAATCTTAACAAATTTATTAAAGTCCACAAGGACAAAAACGTGCATAACAATAATAATAATGTTGTCTACAAAATTAATTGTAAGGATTGTGAAGCTTCGTATGTTGGGCAAACCAAAAGAAAATTACGCACTAGACTAAAAGAGCATATGAATAATATTAAATTTGATTCCTCCAAGCATTCTGTGGTCTCTGAACATATTATAAATAAAAAACATGCTTTTGATTGGGATAACGTTAAAATACTTGATATTGAATCTAATTATTATAAAAGACTTATCTCGGAAATGATACACATCAAGGAACAAAGGCATGGTATAAATAATAACACAGACACCGAATTGCTTAACAACGCGTATTTCGACATTCTAGAAGAAATATCGAATTTTTAGACTTATGTAAATGTTTATTTTGTGAGATCTGACACCTATTTATTCGACTTTTTAAAGACTAGACAACAGTCAAGTACTAACAATAAGGCCAACAACAATTAGAAGCATCGTCATCTCAAGTTATTCGGAACAATTTGTAAGCATAAAGGTTCAATATTTTAGTATTTAGTTTAATTTGTAATTTTTAATTTTTTTTACATACACATTAGTGGAATCCTATTTTACAATTGAATAAATTCTCTAAATTCAGTTAACAAATATCAAATAATTTGGAGAAGATGGACATAATCATTGCCAGATCGAGGGACTTTCGTCAAATAACGATAAGTGGTTCGTTTGGAGCAATGTATAAGTGTCACTCCGAGTTTTTATTAATAATTCTAAAATATTTTATGAATAACCGGACGAATCATTCTGCTTCTAATTGGGTTCTTACTTTGTTGAACTATTTTAATGGTTTCAATTCATTGTAAATATATTTTGCGTTTTAACTATGACTTAACTATATAACTTATATTGACTATGTATTGCGGATTTTTTTATTAGAACTTTATGTATGTATTTATTTATTATGGGTATTTATTATCATTATTTTTTTGCGCACTGAAGAGGAGCAAGTAGAGCTCGAAACGTTTGTGTAATTATTATGTCAAATTAAGAATTTTCTTCTAAATAATAAAATAATTTCGTATTGCTCGTTACACATGGCCTTAATTTAATAATTTATCATAAATTATTTAATTAATTTTTTATTTTTTTATGAGTAATTTAATTTATTCTAGTTATTTTTGTACGAGAAAAATACTATCACAGGTATACGTTTTATAATAAATTAATATATTTATGTTCAAAAATTATATTTGACCTTTAATTTTAATTTTTATTTTATTAAAATTAATAATTAACATATATACTTAATTGCGAATTATATGGATGAACAAAATCCGCATTATGTGTGTAAGAGATTTCGGAACTCTTTGCTAAAATAATTAAAATTAAAAGGTAAATATATTTGTGAACACTTATATTATTAAGAATATATAATTCGGCTCTCGAAATATATTAATTCATTATAAAACGTATACGTGATATTATTTTTCTCATATAAAAATGACTAGAATAAATTAAATTATTATTAAAAACTAAAAAGTAATTAAACGACTTAGACTTAGATGATAATAATAATGAAACATTTTATTAAAAAAGATTCAATAACTATAGTAGGTCAGGTTATAATTTTTTATTTATTTATTTATAACATTATGAGTTATTAAGCTCATCATCTCGTTTGCTCTATGTCTTGTTTTCATTCGGCAAGTCACAAACGATATATGATTACTCGTATGTTCCTACTTGAACTCTCGAGAATCTGAAACAAACGAAACTCGTGTCCAATATATATATTATATAAAAGTGTATAGCATTCCGCTTTGGCAGTTTATCCGAGGCTGTGAAACAGGAAAGATCGAGGCTAGCAGAAGTAGCAGATTAAAAGTTGAGTAAGTAGTAATTCATTAATATTATATACATATTCGTATTTACGCGCGCGCGCGTGCGTGCGTGCGTGCGTGTGTGTGTGTGTGTGTGGGTGGGTGTGTGTGTGCGTGTGTGTGTGGGTGAAGAATATATATATATATATATATATATATATATCGTAACCAGATTACAAAATTCGTCGTTTTATAAAATGTCTAGATATTTTATTAAATGCGGCCACATTCTCAAATTATGATATATTTAAAATGAAATGTTTTTTAATCTGGCTAAGAATTTTAGTCTTTTTATAAAAAGGACTCGCTGCATTGTCAAACGCAACGATTGTTTGTACATTTATTTTAGATTCTGATGGCTAATTCACTTTAGTCATTTAATGAACGGCATAATTGATGTTATTTTTAGTATTTTTATAAAAATTTTAGTATTTTTATAAATTTTATAAATTATAGTGCTTTTTATTAACAGATTTATTACAATTGAGATTTTATGATAAGTAACATGAGTCTTTTGTTTATAAAAAATTAATAGGGATAAACGCGTCGTTCATATTAATGACTGAAGTGAACCAGCCAGAATTTAAAATGACGTACAAATCATTGAATTTGACAATGTGGCGATGAGTTTCTTTTCATATATAAAGACTAAAATTCTTAGCCAGATTATAAAATATTCATTTTTAATCATAATTTAAGAATGTATGTGGCTGCACTTAATAAAATGGCTAACGTTTTATAAAACGACGAATTTTGTAATCTGGCTACAACATTTATATATATATATATATATATATATATATAAATGTTGTAGCCAGATTACAAATCTCATATGTCCCATCAAACACAAAATAAAAGTAATATATATATATATATATATATAACATTAATACAATGTTCTACGTATATATAGGCATGTTGCATTTGCACGTACATTGCAATTAAATTGTTGATTGAGTTATAATATATATTGATTATATATAATATACATATAATAGATATTGATGAAATATAATATATATTGATGTTATTTTTTTGTATAATATTTCCTGAAATATATAATATATTTCACCAATTTTTCACTCGATGATTATTAGCGAAAAAGGTTAGTTAAAAGTCTGCTGAAAGCGTACTGTAGTGCGTTCCGTTTTACTATTTTGCAGTAGCTTCAAAGTGCACAAAATTAAAAAGGAACGCTGTCAACAGTACACTTGCATGACGTCATAGGGTGCATTCGTTTATGCAGAGACTGCCGCAGAATGCCGCAGATGTCGTTCGTTTACTCCACCTGCGCAACCGACTGCAGCGCAGTTTGTTGTTCGTTTAAGCAGAGCTGCTGCCTATCTGCGCAGCCATCTCGGAGGTCCTGCTCAGGATGCTCTGCTCGCAGTACTGCGGACTACTGCGTAAACGAATGTAGTCTTCTCCATTGTTAAGCCAATTGAACTTGGAAACGTTGTCTGAAAATTATTTCAATTATAAGTTATGTTATAAAAGTTCAGAACAAAGAAGGTGGAGAACAACTCCTCCAAATAGATCCTACAAAACTAAAAGTAATGCAAGGTAAGTAATACAATAAAATTATGAAATCTGTTAATTTATATTTACGATCCAATTAACTTAAAAATGCATTTTTATCAAGAATATAAATTTAAAGTAATCTGTTTCAAAAAAATGTGCTTTTGTATAAAGATGCAATTCTGTTACAGTCATTCCTAGCTATCAAGCTACTTCGCCCCCAGTTAGTTTGGAAAAATCTGAGAAGTCTACATTCAGCAACATTTCAATCCTACTGTCATCACTGTCTGAAAATGTTATGTGCACACGTCATATGTCAGAACCTTCAATCTATTTAAAAATTTTATTATATTTATTCAAATAATAATTCATATTTAATATAAATATGATGGTTTCTAAATCGGCCTAAGAGCCATAGCACGAAAATTACGAAAATTAATTATTCGGAACTGTATCTCTTGGTACGAGATTACTAAAGTTCCATATATTAATTAACCTCGAACTTACATATGGAGAAATAGGCACGAAAAATATAGATCCGAAAAGTCTGAATAGCTTAGTGGTAAGAGCAGTCGCCCGGAAAGTGAAAGACGCGGGTTTGATTCCCGCTTCAGCGACTTTTCGGACCTATATTTTTCGCGCCTATTTCTCCATATGTAAGTTTGAGGTTAATTAATATATGGAACTTTAGTAATCTCGTACCAAGAAATACAGTTCCGAATAATTAATTTTCGTAATTTTTCGTGCTATGGCTCTTAGGCCAATTTAGAAACCATCATATTTATATTGTTTATATTGAGAGCCAATAAAAAATATTTATTTCTGAGTTAATTCATATTTATTTAAAATTTCTTTACTTACGCACTCCAATTACAATCTGAGCAGTCAATTCACGCAGGTGATCGTTCGGTAAATGATGTCACGTGACTCGCAGATAATAGACGCAGTAGATGCGCAGTGGATGCGCTAATCGCTGCATAAACGAATGCACCCATAGTGCCAGTACTTGCAGTGCATAACGGAACGCACCCAGAATGGACTGAGCATTGCGATATGTAAACGCGCGCCTGCTTAGAGTGAGAGGTACTACATCTGAGGCCTATGTTTGTCTCTCTTGCAAGCTTCTGATTTGTTATTTCGTCCCCCTCCAGAATTCTAGCAGTAACATAGCATTAAATTTTTGACACTCACCTTCGCCTACTCGCTTTGGAATAACGTGAACGTTATCTTTATCTTTAAAAATTAAAAATGGTTTTAAGGTGTTTTGTGTGCAAAATTACGTATGATAAAAATAAAAAGGATATACAGATGCATAAGTACATTAAAAGTATTTTTTATAGGACATTATTGTAACACATTCTTTAAACATATTGTTTTAAAGCTGTATATAATTATATTATATATACGTAACTTGCATAGTTTTGTTAAATATATATTAAAATTATATATTATATAATAAAATTAAGATATGTAATAGTATGTAATAAAAATTGTGTAAAGTAAAATTATAAAAAGTTAGGTTAGATTATGCGTTTTACAAATAAGTATAGTGTGTAAATAATAATAATATTTATAATAAAATTTGTAAACATATATCTATTTATAAACTTTATAATTAATAAAATATTAATATAAATATATATAAATTAAAGCAAATTTATTGTTTATTTATAAATATATTAAATATATTAAAACAAATTTTAAAATAAATTCTAAAAAATCTATTGACTACACATTTCATAGAAAAATGCACATGGTCCGCAATTTTTTAGACGGCCCTGCAAAAAGAGAGACAAACATAGGCCTCAGATGTAGTACTTCTCACTCTAAAGCAGGCGCGCGCTTACCCATCGCAATGCTCAGTCCATTCTATATGTCGATGACTCTCAGATTTCTCTCTAGTTTTGTCACGTGATTGATTTTAGTTCAAACAACCCAACCTTTTACTACTGGTACGCAGTGTTGTTAGACGGGCTAGGTTTTTTCGCGCATGCGCGTATTACCGTGACGTAACCATGACGACTACAGTAACGTATGATGTTTGCGCGCGCAACTACGGACCAAGACCCTGGACCACGGAGTTTTGCGGAATCGCAGGAAGGAAAACAGATAAATTGAACGTACGTAAAAATAAATAAATTATTACAATATATGTAATATAAAAGTGTATTATTATAATTTATGTATATTAAAATTAATCAATAATTCAAATTATAAATTGTATAAATAAAAACTAAACTCGTAATTTACGTATGTTATAACATAGGTACACGTATATGTATATATTTTATAATTTCATTATTTGTTTATTGTATGTTTATATTTAACATTTTTAATTAAATTTATTACATTATAATAAAATTATACGATTCATTAATTATTTAAAAAAATTTCAATAATTTAAGAAAAATTAAACAGAGGGGGAAATCAGGACCCCATTTCATGCGAGTGACTACTTCATTAATATTACATTCAATGCGCATGCGCGAAAAAACCCTAGCCCGTCTAACAACACTGCTGGTACGTTAACTTTTAGAATGAGATGGAGTAGAGATTGAAATATATTCATGTAAAAAAAATGTTTACAAATGTTTTGCATTTGTCTTTACGCAGTTTCGATCTCGGGTATATTATTCTTAGGTAAATTACTTAGCTACTTCTTTTAATCTAATGGGTAAACCGAGAGATATAAGTACCGAAGAAGAAATGAATTTAGGTATGATTCTCTGTCATATTAATTTTATACTTCAATGATATATAATGTAAATTTTTCTAATTCTCGTTGATTAAATATTTAGCAGATACAAGTGATGTCCTACCACAAAAAAGACATAAGAAACATAAACATAAAAAGCATAAAAAGAAAAAGCTTATGCATGACAACGACGTCTTGTTGATATCACAGCTGATACTGATCGGAAGAAAAGTTTCAGGATGAAAATGAAAAAGGAGGATACGGAAAGGAGGTACATATATTATAATATTTCTCTATAATTTTTTTATGATCTATATTACAAAATAATGTACTGCTTTTTGCTTTTAAGATATATAAATAGAAACATTTTTTAATAGTTTGCAACAATATTATATCTAGCTTAAAAATATTTCAAGAATACTTAAACATTTGACATATGTGCAATGATTATTTTCTAGTTTGGATAAACGTGAAAAAATGTTGAAAACCTGTATAAGTACAGCTGTAATGAATACTACATCTTCTCCAAAAGCAACTACAAAAAAGAAAATTCCAAAAAGCAACAAAGGTAAAGATAGTGGAACCAGCAGTGAAGAAGAAAGATGGCTTGATGCTATTGAGTCTGGTAAACTGGAAGAGGTATATATTATAATTCCTTAAATATTTTGTCTCTTATAATAGATATAAAAGTTACTATATGTAACATATATTATTTCTGTTTGTATAGATTTTGATCAAAAATAGATTGATAACTGTGAGAAATAAAGGCATATTTTATTTCAGGTTGACGATGAATTGAAAAAATTAAACCAAAGGATCCCAAACTTATGACAGCTCGACAGAGAGCAATGTTTGAGAGGAAAACTGATACTGAGCCAAATTCAGGTGTTGAACTGATGTCATTACCCACTGGTTATAAGGAAAAAGTCATGACTGCGGAAGCTATACAGAAGGCTGCTCTGAAATCTCTGAAGCGAAAACAACTTGCAGATGAAAAACGAGAAAAAGATAAAGTACTGTTTATAAGTCAAAATTTTTTTATTAACCAATAATCTTAATTTTGATAAATTAATGAATATTGTAAAATAATTTTTATATTTGAAATTACTTTTGCAGAAAAAGACAATGGAAAGATTACTTAAGAAACAGGAATCTAAAGCATCCAAAGTTAGCAGTAAGGGCAGATTATCTAAGCGACAAGTACCATTAGTGACATATCGTTTAACGATTGAAGGAAGTTCTATATCTCTACCACCTGGTGAAGATTTTCCACTTTGTCCCACCAAGGAGTAAGTATAATAGAATTATTATTACACAGCATTTTAATGATGTCTAATGTAGATATAGGGTGCTTTCCAACAACGACAGTGCGACAGAGTATCATTTTATCTTTGTTATTTACTGGTATTAAAAGAAAATATAATGATACTCTGTACTCGCACTGTCGTTCCTGGAAAGCACCGTTATATATAAGCAACAGTTATATATATTTTCTTGCAAATTTTATTACAGAAAAATTCCGCCAAAACAAATCCTTTGTGGTGTAATCAATGCAGAAATCCAAAAAGATATTCATGTTCCAAAACTGGAATACCATTATGCAGTTTACAATGTTACAAAATCAATCTTTTATTAAACACATAAACAATATACAGACAATGAAAATTAATATTTTTTCGAATAAGAAACTCTAAAATACAGCTTTATGAATGTAAAAGCAGCATCGATAAAATGTAGAAATATTTTATTTAAAAATAGCTTATTTAACTCTATGTATGTGTATATTTATGGAAATATGAATTTTTGTTTCTTCTTCGAAAACAAATTTTTTTATCTTGTTATTGTGGTCTTATAAATGCTTTTTCAACTTTATATATACATATATATATATATATATATATATATATATATATATATATATATATATATATATGTATGTATGTATATAATAAAACTGCATTTGAGAGCATTATACAACAAATGTATCTTATGATAAAAAGGAAAACAGATATAGTTTTTCCTTGAAGTGTAATACTTTAAGATAGCCTAGGCCCCTTTCTTTCACCCACTCTTACAATCTACCAAGCAGTAAGCTGTTCGCAAAACGTTCACTTCCTGACTCGGTCGGTCGGTTGTCTCGGCTTAGATCCGCGCAAGACTGTTCAAACCTATGTACGTATACGTGCTTGATATCAACCCAGATATTCTGGGCCGTCATGTCGTGTCTTCGCTATTCAACAGTTTTAATATTCGTTTTTTCTTCGATTTTGGTTTTGTGTTTTGGAACATCCGGTGAGTGAAATCCTTTACCACAATGAATATTTTAATTCGTTGATTTGTGCCCTGTAAAAAGAGGAGTGTATCTTCGAAAAAATTATTGAAAAATTTTACTACAGTTGCATTCTTACGCGAAGTGGTGCGCTTAATTGAAGTGATGAAGTTAATGAATTAATGTTAATCATTAATATATATATCATATCGATCAGTGAGATTTTTATTTTTATTTAATATGAACGCAATAATTCGCTTAATGAGCCTAACAATTTTCTTATTTTCAAAAATTAGATGACGATTCTCATGAATGTGTGCGTCCTTGCTCCGGCGAAACATTTTCAAGAAAGACTTGCGTTTATCAGTTCTTCGTCACAGAATTGCAGAACACAATAAGGTAAGATAAAAGTATTACAAAATAAATTAATATTTGTTTATTAATAAGTAGATATATTTAATTTATCTTATTTTTAAATTAACAAATATTTAATGATGCTATATGCATATATATATATGTATATGTATACTATCAAAGAAGGAATTTATAAATTATATATAGAGCTTGAAAGATACTTATAATAGCGTGAAAAATATGCAATGTAAAACGAAATTAAGAAAGCGAAACATTTCAGAAAGTTTCGAATTAATAAGATTAGAATAAATAATTTTATAAATTTTTCTAACATGTTTCTCGCAATAATATATAGCGAATATTTTTTACTTTTATTTGCGGATTGGAATGCAACGTTCTAACGGTGAATATTTACGGTCGTTGAATACATTCTGTACTTTGATGTACAACAGGTTCCAATACGACACAAAGATGCACTCTACCACTTTCATATGTACTACATACATAAAGTATCTAGGTTCAGAATTATGGCATCGTATACTGTATATATAAATCTTCGCGATGCGCTTTTAACGCAAGCAATATTACGTAGTTTTATATAATTATTTTATAATAAATTGATTATTGAATTACATTTCTTTCAAACCATTTTTGTTTTGATTTTTTTAACGTAGATATAATCGAAAATAAAATTTTAATTTAAATAAAATTT